TTCTCCTGAGTTGCACCTGGATGTGTTTGGAGGCCCTTCAAGCCCCCACAGACACTCAGAACCCACAAAAATATCCTCACATATTTTTTGAAAAGGAGTATTTTTTTCCTGAAGAACCTGTACTGGAGATCTGTGTAGTCATATTTAATTCAAGCAGCACTGTAACAGTTTTCCTCTCCCTCTGTCCAGTTGAGGAGGGCAAGTGGCAGAGTGGCTTAGTAGCACCTCTCTGATAACACATCTAAGAAAGGGTAAAAACTGCTGCACAACTGGGAGGGAGGGGTGAGAATATATGGCATCCGGAGGCCAGCCATGGTCAACCCATCACACCAAGTAAATAAGTTTTGTAAATGCATTAAAATGATCAGAGAGCCTGCACATGATGGTGGGTCCATCAGGGACGAGGAAGAAAATGCACAGAATATTGAGATCTTTCAGGTCTTCAGAGCCCTAAGAAAGCTGTTGGAAAAGGAAACTAGCCAGCTTTGAGATTCAGAAAAGCCTTCTGGAGTTGTAGGTGTCTTAGACAACCAATCCAAAAATTTGAAAAATGACACCATCATAATCACATTTTCTTTCCACAAATGCTACCTCTCCTCTCCTGATTCTAATCCAACATGGTGAAAGATCTCAAATAAACCTACCTCTTTCTTAGTTATATTAATGTATTTGGTAAAAGGGACAGGTCATAATTTCCATGCACCTCCATTTAGATAGGCTTGTTTTGCACTCCCCTGATAGGTGAGATTGGCAGGGGAAGAAGCCAGATTTAGCTAGGGCTTCTTTCTAAAAATAGTTAATCAATTTCAGTTCAAGGCTCTCAGGTTATAGGAAAAGAAAATGATTTTGCTTGGGCACATAATGAGCTTAGATAATCAGTTTTCCTGCTCAGGAGCAATGAATCCAAGGGTTTAAACAAAAAAGAATGTTATTAAAAGGGGTAAAATAGTAACTCAGCATAAAAATCAGTAGGCCTGTTTACTAATCAGAAATAGAACCTGAAAGCTTCTTGGTAATGTAGCTCTCGCCCCTGTTTTGCCCAGAGCTGAGAGAACCCATTCTCCATCCGTAAGGAGATGATGTTTCCAAGTGCAGTGATCCCACCTCTCCTACCAGGTCACTGCTCTTGGCAGCTTCAGTCCATGAAGTCTTGGCTCTGTCAGAGAGGAGTCTGTGGCAAACAAAACCCAAAGCGAACCGTGAGGAACGCACTATTTGATTTTGGGTTTTTTTTTTAACTTTCTTGCTGCATGGCTCCTTTGTTCTACCAGTATCAAGGGGAACTACACTGGTAATTCCTAACCCTCAAATCACCATTCTCTCTGGATGAATAACTGTTTTGAATACCTTCAAACATAAGACACAATTGTATTTTAAACCCAGTGCCCAAGAGTGAAATCCACTGAAGTCCACCCACTCCCTTTTTTGTTGTGATCTCTTGACACTTCAAGCAGTGCTGGATTTCTCTTTTATCCCATTATAGGCAGGATCAGCAGTAAGTACTCCATTCTTTTAGGAATACTGGGCTTACCTCAGGATAGATGTAGCTCTGAATTTAAGTTTTACTTCTGTGCAAGCTCTACAGCACAAAGGGTTGAATTGAATAGCAGGCTGAAGACTCTGATAAGAGTTTTTTGCATTGACTGTCTTCTGTTCTTACGGTTGTCACCATCTCTTTATATGAGCTATTCAAAGTCATACACAGTGGAGATACCAAAGGTTGGAATTGTTCAGGATAACGTGAGATAGGCAGAGGTTAGAGGGTTAAATGAAAAGAAAAAAATATTGTTTGGAGAACAGGAAATCCTTATTAAAAGTGATATCCTGCAAAATACTCTATGCCTCGACTGCAGGTATGCATAAACCTGAGCTTGGAAATAGCCATTACTGCAAGAAAAAGTAATGAGGAGAGTGCTGCAGAAGCTTAGATGCAATGGATCCCTTCTGTTTCAAATCTTTATAGTATAATTATCTTTATTTCAAGTGCATTGACTGTTTATAGATGACCAAAACAGTTCTTAAAAAGCAATTTTGGTGAATGGCTTAGCTAAACCAGAGAAAAATCTCACTTTTTTCCCCAAGTTCTGCCCTGTCAGATAAAAACATTGGCTCAGAGCTGCCACCCAATGACCAGACCGTGTAAAATCACTTAAATACAGGCTACCTGTGCTGCAAAGCACTGAGTCCAGTGAGACAAAATAGTGGACGCAAATTAATTTCTCACTGCATTAAAAAGGCAGGGAAAGGCCATTTCCCCATCCACTGTCTTTCCACTCCCTTTCCCCAACATCTATATCTCTTTGTCTGCAACAAGGTCCTTTGCTTAGAAAATTTAATTTGTTAACCTATTAACTTCGTTTGTGTTTTTGTTTTGCTTTGTTTTTTTTTTCTTCTGTATTGATTTTCTGGTGGTTTATCAAGTTGACTCAGATCAGAGGATGCGTAGGGAAGTGTCAACACCAGCACAAAGCAAACAAGAAGGAATGAGAGCAGAAGAACGAATAGAAGAGAGATTTCAGCTGCAGTGAGCACTTATTTTGGCTCTATTCTTGTCTAACTTCATATGGTATGATACTTGGAGATTCCAAAGCTGGTTTTGACTACACATGTTCAGGTAGCTAAAGCACTCTAGTCAACACAGAGTGCACACAGGGCAATGGTCCAGATGAAGGTTCTGGCTAAATTTGTCTGTTCAGCACTCAGAGACTTCAGTTATTGATTGTTCCCAGAGGCTGCGCTGCCTCACTGAAAGCTATCATCTCAACTATCTCTGCAGCTTTCAGTGTGTCACATCTCTAAAAGTGTTTGTCCCTGGCTGATCTGTAACAGTTGGCAAAGCAAAGAAGATGAAGGGGGATTGCCACATCTATGTTTATCATCAAACAGCTGTCACCATTTGAATGCATTATACAATGCCAAGTATTTTATACTATTTAAGTGCTTATAAAATATTGTAATTTGTAAAAAGCACACCAAGTGACTTCATTCCACTGCAAGAGGAAATGCACAGTTTGTGCACAGTGGTGCACCAACAGGACATTTCAGTCCATTTCCCTTCTGATCCAGTCTCTTTATGAGCCCTTCACAGATAGCAAAAGGGTATTTACCTCAAGCTGTACCATAATCTTGCAGTCTGCCTGCCCTAGTGCCTATTTCTAATGGCTAATAGGCATTTTTAATGTCTAGTAGAAACAGATCTGTAATTCTACGTGCAGATTCAGCCCACATTATGTGTTGTGTATTAGCTGCTTGTGCCCTGAACTGCCTGCTTCCAGTATGCCAAACAACGTCAGTAGATTTCTGCTCAGCTCCATGTTTTCTGGATTAGGACCTGCTGTGGTCTCAGAAGACAGCGTTTATTATGTACCTGGAGTTATATTGGCCATCAGAGCTGGCTGCAACACAGAGAACAGGCTGTTCCTACAGAGCTGCGCTTTTTCAGCCGGAGCTAGTGTGGCGTGTACTCAGGCAGGAGCCAGTTAGTACTGATGTACAAAGCAAACCCATAGGGAGGTTTCTACAAGCTGCCGTTTGGCCAGTTTCCTTAATTTCAAAGGCTTGGACATGTGCCTGGAAATATCAGAAGTCCAAATGGTTAATTATTGGCGGTGGAAAATGATTATCGCTTGATTATTATATTAAATTTTAACCTCCTTCACTACTTTAACAAAGTCAGCATATTGTTATCTAATCACCAGCCAATGGTGAAATAACAATCCTAATTCTATCCCAACACAGTTCATATCAGGGAGCAAAGCATCAATCTTTTAAAGTGTGAAAAGCTTAGGACCAGATGGGAAAGATCAGGGCATTGCTATTCCCAGAAATGTACTTTGTGATTGCCGCACCAAACTGCTACACTTTGGAGCTGGGAGGCAGAATCCTGCAATAAGGACCATTAAACTTGTGAGAAAAACACATCAGGAAGCTCTAAAGACCCTGCATGTCCTGTATCATTCAAGCCCTTGTGTGGTCCTTGCTTACTGTCCAAATACACTCTTGAATTTCAGACTGTACAGACTGTATGGTGGACATGTTTCTCTCTGAGAGACATTTATCTTTGAGTTAGGGAAAGGGCTGTCAGAGACAAGTAAGGCTTATGAGAGCTTCAGTAAGGGTCCGTGCACATTGTGGGGTGATTTGCAGATTGGAGAAGCTTCTTGCAGCTTTCCTATTCTCTCTAGGTGGGATAAACTGTTGTTTGGTTTTTCATTTGCTTGGCCTGCAATTAGTGTGGGCTTTAGTGAATGCACTGATGCCTCCTCTTCTCAACTGAATTTCCATTTGCTTTCACACATTACTGCTGCTCCCTGAAATCCTCCATGTGACAGATATAACAACAGAATTAGAATGGTGTGCAGAAAACCTTCCTTGCCTACCCCATGTAGGGTGCCAATCACACAGAGCCGTGCCCAGGTTATTAAGTGGACATGGTTTGGTGCCCTTCTGGCAAGAGAGCCCAAATTCACCCTGGAAGTATCAATAAGGAGCTGGTTCTTCTGGTGTGTCTAGCTGCCCTGTACACACAGATCTGAAGCTTTCCTGTGCGGGAGCTTTCTAGTCTTCAGTGAGAGAGGTAGACAGCACTCAGGTCCTTGGGCAATTTTGGTTTGTTCCCAGTGCATCCTCTGTATTTCTCTCTGGACTGCTGGGGCAGCTGTCCACGCATCACAAATCTTCTGGCAAACATGAGTTTTCTCACACACACACATGCACCCCTTCCACCGTCACCCTCTTACACCGCTCACAGGTCCTACTCCAACTTAGGTGCTGAGTAGATGAATTTCTATATGGGCTTCTCTCACCACCACATCCCTCTGCAAAGGTATGTGCCTCACACACCAATCATTCCTGCTGTACTAGTGACCAACAAAGTGTTTTGGTTTTTTTTGCATTTATATTCAAATTTATCTTGCATTACTCTCCCTGGAGATACTCTAATAGAGAGGGCAAGAGAGAATCAGCAACAAACCTGCTGTTGACAGTTAGCAAGCAATGGGTTCAGGTTTTACATGGAGGTTTATTAGATGGCTGAGGAAAAAGATCACTTGCTGAATGCACTCCAGTCTTCAACCTTCATCTTCTAAGGCTTGCCTTTTTTATCCCCGTATTTGTCCTTCATTGCTTTCTGCACGTTAAGATCTAGGAAATATTTCTCATACCATTTCCCTGTAAAGAAGGCAAATCATAGTTCAGATACAGCCTCCTTCCTAGCGCTATTATACCCCAAGGATTATTCTAGCTGCAGAGCTCCTCTCTTCTTAAAATGCTAATTTTTAGTCCTCTTGTGACTTTGCCCAAACCCATTCATTGTCCTTGGCAGAAGCAGCACCCATCTAAGGAATTTAGAAAGGTACTTTTCCTGCAGAAGCCATACCTAGCTCATAAATCCTCCTTCCATGCCAATTTTTGGGATCTCTGATTGCCTTCTGAATTACATCAGGGGTGTAGGAATCTCTCATCAAGCTTCGGCTCTTCAGTGGGCCACCTGCAAGGAACAGCAAATAAGGAATTGTATGCAGAAATCACCCTACTGCAGTCCTGGAATTGATCAGGGGAGCAACACCAGCAGTTTCAAGGGCTGAAGAAAAGGCATGTGTTGACTGCAGTACCTTTGACCAGGTCTGTGACTAGTGCTGAACAACAGCTTCATCATCACCCAGGAGGGAGCTTGTGTTTGCCAATTTATCTGCTTTTCATCCTCAAGTATGAGATACACACAGAGGTTGCTGTAAGGTATCATCTTTATTTGTATCCCAGTGCCCTTTCTTCTTTAGTCGAGTGCCCACTTACCTCATGTTGAATCTCCTCATTCACGTGAGTAGCTTCCTACTCAGCAGCACAACTCCACAAAAAAACTACCATCTTAACACTCCAGCCCTTCTTGATCCCCTTTTCTGCCACAATACTTGACAGATAATTCCCAACTGTGACTTCTGTATTCATCCCCTCTTGACTTTTAGCCACGAGGGGGCTTTATTTTAATCTCTCATCCTTTCCACTTCACCTTTCTTTTTATCACACCTTTTTCTTGACAATAATGATTTTGAGCTCCCTGAGGAAAGATGTCCTTCCTTTCTGTGTGACTACACAAACCGAGGACAATGCAGTCTTCAATACCCAGCAAGGTCTTGACATGGAACGTACTGTACAAGGAAAAGGAATGTGTCTTATGCTGGTACATGAGAAACTAGAATCACAGACAATTATTTCAGAGTTTCTTGGATATGATGGTAACAAAATGGGATGATTGCTCAGTTTCCAATATTTGTTTTGATGGAAGGATCCTGGGGAACCTTGGAAACAGAGGTTTGGGCAAGATATTTCAGAGCCCCACATCTCTAAAGTCTTGAAGAGAAATAAACTGGAACTGGAGATAACTAGCAACTGGAGATGACAGGGGACATTGAATTGCAAATGGTGTCCATTTGGACAGGTCTGAAAATGGAGGACAAGAGTCATGACTCATGTTTGCTTTTCACATCTTGGAAAAAAAAGAGTGAATGAAAAGAAAGGGATAGGATACATAGAATAGAATGGGAGGATCTAGATTCTGTTTCCTCAAGTACCACAGTCTGGAAAAGCAGTGACTGCGGATAGAAGGAATAAGCAGAGAAAGTGAGTATCACCTATAGTCAGATGTCTGCACATAGCAATGTGGCTGCCCTGAGTCTTGGCAAAGTGTAGATGGAATCAGCTTTGAAGGTCAGGGATAGGCATGTGTGTCCCCTCACCTTGGAAGAGATTTGATCTCAGGTTGTAACCCAGCTGCTCGTAATCTGAAAGAGATGTCCAGTCCAAGGACTTTTTTGTCACTTCAGTACAGTCAGTGAGTCTTTTCTGTCCTGTGTCTAAATCTGCATTGCACTGAGCTTGATGTTGCTGAAAACACAAACAACAGAGAACCACTGTCATTCCACATTTCCTAAGTGCAAACTCCTGGCATTTCCGCCCCTGCATAGCTCTCTGAGCTATGATTAATCCCTGAGACCTGGGTCTATCCTTGAGTCTCCCTTAGTGCTGTTAAAACTGAAGCCATGGCCCATGGTGATAAATATGGTAATTGTGAGTCTGCTGGCACTAGCAGCAGTTCAAATGGGATCTGGATCAGGTAGGGATGTATGTTTGGATTTGTCAAATTAGCTCAGGACATGATATACAGGCTTACCTTCTGCTCTTGAGGCAGTCATTGGAATGAAGACATCAGCCAGAGGGGTAGGAAGCCTAGTGCTTCACCAAGGCTGACTTGAACCACCACCAGCTTGGGTTTTACACTGTGTCACTTCTTTGCAACAGCATGTCTTATACGATATTGGGATCCTGAAGCTGAAGTTACTGTATTAGTCAGACTCCAGGAGTCAGTGCTGCATGCTCTGCAAAGGTATTAAGGGACAGATCCTCTTCCACAAAAAGAACAGGGCCACAAGAGATGAAGAGAGGAAGCCAGTCCTAACTCACAGGGCACAATCTGCTTCTTTTCTCTATCACTGTTGATTCTTTTTAAAGAAGAACCATACAGTTACACATGATCAAAGTGCAGGAATCTGTGCTGCTAAATAAACTGCTGTGTTAACTTCCACCTCCTACGTAAAACAAAACCAGGTCTGTTTGTTATTATTACTATATTCAGTGGAAAGAACTTTACAGTCTGCTAATGTAGAAATTCCTCCTCTTCTCCCATTTCTTCCAACAAAGCAGAATTTTTGTGTAGTGAGGCAATGTGCCTATTTCCCAAATCCCATTCATCAATAACTTTCCTTTTCCCAGTTACTCCTGGACAAAATGACACTGAAGCCTGAAACTGTTCCTACTTTCTAGTTTGTAACTGTATATGATGTTATTGTCATGCTTCTTGGTTTGCTTCTGACTCCGAGGGTCCAAAGTCAAAGCACCGCTCAGAGACTCCTACATCTTGATGCCAAGAAGGACTTTAAGGTCATTTTACCATCCTTCTCAATAACAGAAGTCACAAGAAGTATGTCTTATTCCTTTGCTAAGCCAATCCTGTGACGGGCAATAGACAATCAATTAGAAAAGACATATCTTGATCAAAGAGCTAAAAATGGTTAAACTTGATCTTTCTTTCTGAACGAAAGATTTAGCATAGCCTAACACTCTGACTTTCTTGACATGCAGCCTTGGAGGAAGAGGGAGCTGTCTTTTGAGGTAGAAAACTAACCTCCTCAGATAGGTGTAGGAACTGGCCATTCTCACCAGCCACCAGGTGTGGCCAAGAGTGGTTTCATATGCCTTCCACATTTGACTGGGTGTCCAAAATATGAGGAGGTTTCATTGACTTTTCAGACCTGAGGAGCCCCATGAATGTCAAAATGAGACTGGATTTTTTTTTTAAAAGGAATGATCCATGATTTACCAAGAGGAAAAGCCTCTTCCATAACTACCTATCTCACCTGGTCCATGATCCCTGGTGATGTCACAGTGATTTGTACAAGCAGGTAGGTCCTGCTGAAGTCCAGGTGTAGAGGTGGGATGGAAACTGAAGAGTAGAGATGGTTGCTGGGGAACAGCATTCCCTCCTTCTATGAGCTATGAGCTCCCTCTCCATGGGAAACAGAATCCACATGGTGTAAAGGATTATCCTGGCAGATTGAAAAAACAAACAAGGAGCAGAGTAAAAGGTCCATGTCTCATGAAATACCTGTACCCAGAAGTTCACATCACACACAGGATTTCTTGGAGACTCTCCTAACACAGTCACGATAATCAACAAGACTGTATGTCAGCAGAATTGGATCTTCTAGCATCTCCAAATGCTTCACGTGAGCTCCTGACCCTGATCAGAGAGGAAGGAAAATCATAGAATCATAGAATAACCTGAGTTGGAAGGGACTCAATAGGATTGTTGAAGTCCAACTCCTGGCTCTGTATAGGGCAGCCCCCGGAATCATACTATGTACTTGAAAATGTTGCCCAAATGCTTCTTGAACTCTGTCAGACTTGGTGCCATAACTAGTTCCCTGGGGAGCCTGTTCCAGTGACGGATCACCCTCTGGGTGAAGAACCTTTTCCTAATATCTAACCGAAACCTCCTCTGACATGGCTTCATGCCATTCCCTCAGGTCCTGTCACTGGTCACCAGAGAGAAGAGATCAGTGCCTGCCCTTCCGCTTCCCATCAAGAGAAAGTTGTAGACTCCAGGCTGAACAAGCCAAGTGATCTCAGCCACTTCTCATATGGTTTCCCCTCTAGACCCTTCACCATCTTTGTTGCCCTCCTTTGGATGCTCCCTAACATTGTTGTGGTGCCCAAAACTGCACACAATATTCAAGGTGAGGCTGCCCCAGTGCAGAGCAGAGCGGAACAATCCCCTCCTTTGACCGGCTGGCGATGCTTTGCCTGATGCCCCCCCAGGACAAGGTTGGCCCTCCTGGCTGCCAGAGTACTGCTGACTCATATTCAACCTCACCTGCCCTGCCTATCCCTCCTGAAGAGCCTGTAAACATCCAACATTCAGTCACAGGACTCATCCTCTAAGTTTCATTTATGCCAATGATGTCGTATCTCTGGGACTGGGCCAAAGGTTCAAGCTGCTTGTTTGTTCCTCATGCTGTATGCATTGGTAGAAACATTTTGAGTGTGGTTCATTGTAGCTGACACCTCATGGAGCAGACCGAGGGATCTTACTTCCTCAAGTTTTGGCATGCCACCCCATTGCTTATCACTGGCAAGCTTGGTTTTGTCCCTTTCCCCCTTCCAATCTAGCTTAAAGCTCTCTCAATAAGCCCTTCTAACTCCTGAGCTAAGATCCTTTTCCCCCTTTGAGACAGGACAACCCCATTTATTGTCAGCAGGCTCCATGTTGTATAAACTGACCCACGATCAAAAAAACAAAAACTCTGCTGGTAACACCAGTCTCAAAGCCAGGTATTCCTCTACATGATCTCCCAGTTTCTTGCCCCATCATTCCCTGCAACTGGCAGGATGGAAGAGAACACAACTTGTACTCCAGATCCCTTGATCTGTTGAGCCAAGACCCTGAGGTCCCTCTTGATTGTTTGCAGCCTTCTTGTTGGGACCTCATTGCTGCCTATCTGGAAAACCAGTAGAAGTAATAATCAGTGGGCTGGGAAGTTCCTCTGTGATGTGCCTTACCTGAACGCCAGCAAGGTAACACACGTCCTGATGGGTTGGATCTAGTTGGCATGTGGAAGGCACCCCCATTTTCCACATTACAAATGGGAAGAGATTGGGCTGGCAAAAAGTCTTACACTGAGTTAATGACAGAACCATTGCTTGACCCTCCCGTGTCCCGCATCCAGTCCAATATTTCAGCCCCTGACTTTTCATTCATCCTGCTCCTGACTCGAACTCTCATCAGGCCACTGGAATTTCTGATAGTCTCCAGGGAATTGTGTAACTCTCCTTCATGTTGCAAAGGTGCTTTTCCCACTCAGCACAAGCATGTTACAGGTAACAGAGAAGAGTTCAATATATTCACAGATGCATCATCTTAGATTTTATTAATTGAGAAAACCCAGAAGATTAATAGAAATCTACTGATCATTCTTCGAAAAATTTTCAAAATACAAATCAGCATATTTTTTCCTTACTTCTATCTCCTCCCTTTCACCTTACTCTGGGCTGGAAAAAGCTGCCAGATCTCACTGCCCAAGACAAAGCTCTCCCTCTAGGCCTTGTTGCGCTTCACCTCAGAGACCTTGTAGTGTGGTGGGGCACGGTGGAACCACTCTGACCAGGAACCATCATAAACAGCCACATCCTGCTTGCCACACAGGAAGGCTGCCAAGGCAATCTGACACGCCGTGACACCTTTGCGGCATGTGGCCGTCAGTGGCTTTGAGAGATCCACTTTCTTCGCACGGAATATTTCTTGGATCTCCTCAATACTCTTCTCATGTCCGGTTTCGGATAGGAATGAGTGGAAGGGTATGTTCACAGCACCAGGGATGTGGCCGGATTCCAGCCCTGCAAGAATAAACAGGAAAAGGAAATGTGAGCAAGGACACACTAATGTAGGTGGTGAAAGATGTTCAAGAAAGAGATATTAAAGAGGCATCACTGCAGATACTTTCACTCTCTCCAACAGACTCGTTTGTTTCACTTGATGATGAAGATGCAAAGCAGTACAGGGCTAAAAGGAGGAGGACAATGATTATTCAACTTTGCTGAAGTCAAAGCTTCCAGAATATTTAGCAAACTCTTTCCCCACTGAAAGCAGTGAGAAGTAGAAATCTGACAAAGCCCTAGACATGACAGGAATCAAAGAACCAACACAGAAAAAGCTCTAACAAAGGCATTATAGGCATCTATGTAAAGATGAATGCAGCAGCGCATTTTTGAGCTTCCCCAAGTATGCTAGCAGTGCATAGAAACAGTTTTCAGAAGCAGGAAGCATGGTCTCTACGTGGAATTTGTGAAAGCAGTTATATGTTCACAGTTTATTTCTGTGTCACCTTAAAATCATATTTCAGAAAAGTAAATAACAGAAATCACAGTAAATCATAAAGCAACTTTAAAGTCAGTTATGTTATTGCTGAGGCAGCTGTCCTGGGACAATGGGGTCAGAGAAGTGAGAAGTCAGATTTTGTATCACTTTTTATCCACTCTATGGATGAAATCAGCATGGGTTATGTTTTTCTGCTGGTATAGTTGACCACTTCAGGCAAGTTGAAAGCTGCATTTCAAAATAAAGTCTTTAGAGAGAAGCAGATAAAAAAATATGATGGATAAGGTTGTCATCATGCCCTTCAAATACAAACTCTGTCACTATAGGCTTAATCAATAGAAGCTTTTCCACTGATTTTGAGAGGCTTTGGATCAAGCCTTGCTGGAGCCAGAAAAACTATATATTACGTTGAAAATGCATTTTGGGGAATGATTCCTTGCTAGGTTTGAACTTCTAATGAGACAACCCTGAGAAAGTTACTTACATAGTAATCTATTTCACTGACAGCTTTCCAGTTGCCCAAGTCACCAGGGTAACTGATGTCAGGAGAAGAGACTGGGGCAGGAAATGTGTCACAAATGATTCTAAACTATACCTAGTCAGAGATTGACATCACACATCATAATGACACTGCAGTCTCATCATTCATGCAGACTGATGTCATGACATGACGAGATATAGAGAAAACAGGGCTTTGGTAGCGTATCGAGGAGGGGAATTTTGCTCTGCTGGACAAAGACAGAGCCTAAAGACAACCAAAGATGTCCTGAGTCAGCTTCACAAGTTCTCTCCCTATTCCAGATGGCTCCTCTTTGTCTCTTGATTCATCCACCCTGAGTGCTTTAGAAATATGGCACAGTTGTCTAGTAGTCACCTCATGCATCCTTCAGAAGTGTTTAGCATTACTGAGAGAAGTCAGGAGAAAAACTGCTGACTTCTACAGGGACTAACATCTAAAAGGAAAAAAAAAAATTAGAGACAGTGTTTTGGACCGATGCTTTCACCACATTTTTCCAGTTTCAGAAAACAAGTTTATCACTTCAGTACAGAGAACTGCAAAACTCACTTATCAATATAGTGTCTGTATGACAGAGAGGAAATAAAACCTGAGTGTGAGAAAACGTCGTATGTAGTTCTCAGACTGCAAAGCTTCTTACTAGAGAAAGCCTGGGTTAGGCTACCAGTCTCCCACAGAGTGAATGCTCCCGACCCCGTCATTCAGCAAGGAATTTCTGTGGGGCTCTGCTGCAGTACCAGTGATTGCCCCAATACAGACAAGTCTGTGAATCACAGAACAATGCTCTCACACCATCCTAGGGCACTGGGAAGTGAACTGAGATCAGGAAGTCCTGGAGTCTGAACTAGAAGAGAACTCTTGCTCAAAGGGAACTCTTACTCAAAGAAGCTTGCTGGGCCATCGATTCAGGTCCTAGGTGACCCAGGTACCACGGTCATTATCACCTGTCTAGCCTGTTCACACACCTTAAAATAGGTCTGTACCCCTCTCTTATTGGAGATTGCTGTGACAACTCATCACCCTTAAAGAACTCTTTGGGTAGGAGCTGAGCAGATCTGAAAAGAACACTCTCATTTTAGAGCAGTTTTGATTTTGATCTGTAGGGAGACTTCCTTGCTCCAGAGATTCAAAACTCTGTTGGAGTCAGAGACCAGTGCTTGCACTCTGCGGTTGAAAGATAGGGAATTCTGTAGAAACTGCATTTACTCATCTATGTGGGTGTTCAGCTGAAAGACAGAGCTGAAACTGCACAACCACAATCCCTTGGGCTGCCTAAGAAGTGCTTTTGAGTGGTTGAGAAAGTTTCATCATCTCTCTCTGCTAGGTCAAGAGCAGAGAAACACAGGTCTGGAAGGCAAGGCTGGATGCAGCTGGGATCTTAACAGGGGAGAGGATACATCTGCTCCTGCCTCAGACAGGGCATACTCCATGCCAGATTCTTGCAGTCACCCTTAGAAACTCCAGAAAGGAACACTAGGACTAGAGAGCCTGGGTCCCAGCTACTACAGTGATCACTTTATAGGCTCCCTCTCAAAAAAAGCATCTATCTCAGAAACAGTTTGGATTCTTGTCACAAAACTTCCCACTGAGGCACCTCCTTGCTCATGTGAGGAGGAATAGTGATTTTCAATATTTACTTCATCACGGTCAGTCCATACACCATTTATCCTTGAGCTAACACTGCCCTACAGCTGAAATAGCCTTTTCCCCCTTCTGCTATTGCTCCAATAGACTGATGGTAAGCCCTCAGCACTCTCAACAACCTCACGTCCTCAGCCTAAACCCAGTAAGAGCCTGTTAGATATGCTTTTCTCTGCTTTGGCCACCCTAGGAACAGTTCTAGGTGTCCACTAGGCTTCTGGATAAGGAAGTGACATTTCCTAGCATCATAATTGGTAGACAGGAGGTTAATGATTGCTATTACCAAGGTTAAATTGCATCTGAGGTTCTTGCATTCAAGTCTTATCATCTTCTATTGCTTCCAAACGTGGGTCTTCAGCGCGTAAGACAAACATAAGTAGTTAAGTGTTTTGGGCTACTAAGCACCCAACTCTGCGTAGTGTTATACTTCCTGTCACTTCTATATTTGCAGGTGCCACTTCATAATATTCCCCATATGACCATTAAGACCTTCCCAAGGCTATGCCAGCAGCACATTTCAATAGCAACCCCCTATTTTCAGCGCCTTGATGATTCAGAAAAACATGAAATAAAACACAGAAGCATAATAATGGGACCATGCTGGCAATTTCCAGCCCCACAGATCTCCTTTCAGCATAAGCTTATCTCCCTTATCTCCTTTCCAGTCAAATTTTTTAAAAATCTAACAGTACTTGTGCTATTGGCCATCTCCTTATATTGAACTAATAACTGCCCCTCTAATGTCATGTCCAAAGTATTAATGAAGTCCAAATGGAACAATGCTACCTTGTAGGTGCTTCCAATGGCTGAAAGAAAAGATCAGACATAACTTCCAGACATGCATGTTCCCATTTTTCTTATCTAGCCAATCAATTCTGCCGGCAAGGAAATAAAGCCCTTGGCTGCAGGGAGTGTTTACCAAGGTATTTTACTCAAATTTGCCTGCATTTAAAATAATTTTTCTTGAAGTGTTTTTTGAAAGCCTTCTAGTCTATCCATGTTAGGGTAATAGTCCAACAGCTGACTAGATTGTGCTGTATCTCCTATCCAAAATATGCCCTTTGCTAGTGTTTCTATCCTACAGAACCATTCTCTGATTAAATGTATCAAATTCTTGCCTCATGGAGTTGCAATGTCACACAACTAATTTTTGACACATATTTGGGATAGAGATCAGCTGCCTCACAGATTTGAGCATGGGGATATCTTCTGGTTACACTCTCTCTTTATAAAAAATAATTTAAACTTATTTCCCCTTATATCTGCTCTCCTTCTGAAGACTTATCTTTAGGATAGAAGAAAACACGGTAGCACAGACTCAAGACTCAGTATAATCCTGAGACTATACACAAATAATCTTTTACCTGGAACCCCTGTTAACTGCATAGCAACCTTATTTTTTCTTTCTCTCCATGTTCTCTTTTTATTCACTTTGTTCCAGAAGTTTTTGTATTTGTTTTAAGTCCTTTTGCCAAGTCTCACTCAGCTTGGTGTCTGGCAATCCTTCCTCACAATTTGTAACCTGTAATATGTTATCTTCTTCAATACTTAATCCCCTTTTCCACATCTGTTAGACTCATTGCTTACATGTAGTTTTTATTGTTGGCTATTTATCTAGCTAAGACTACAGCCCCTCCTCTCCAGCCTTCCCTTTGCAATGAAAGCTCCAGATGGAATTTTTTAATGTCAAAGAGGTAAAATATATGCTCTGTCCATATTTAATTCCCTGTGGTTTTGGAGTGTGCTGGCTGCAGATAGCTGTTCTTTTCCAAATGCTTCCTCTCTTGCCTCCTTGTTTGTAGCAATCTGAAACTCGCATATCAGCAGAAAAGGATTATGTAGCAGGCCATGGACTGCAGGAGCTGGGAGAAACTCCTTACTCTGAGGAACTTCCTCACAAGACCTATTGATATTTAACTATGTTGATTGTCATGTCTCCTTCAGCAAGATATGGAAAGACTTTGTGATGATGTTATCAGACCACGTAGAAACCTCTTTGTTCTTTTCCCCATGTGGTCCTAGCTAAGGGAAAACATTAACCAACTGTGTAACTGTAGCAGAAAATTGTGTAATCCTCTAGTTGGCATAATCCATCCCCTAGTTAGCATAACCCCTCCTCCTCATTAACATGTCCTGCCCCCAAAACCCTTATATTGTGAAGCGTGTGTTCAATAAATATTCCAGTTTTCACCCCCAAACCTGGGGTTGTTAGTTATTGACCTCTTCACTTGTTTATCTCTCTCTTCCATCAAATGATATTTCCTGGAAGGGACAATTACTGATCTTGTCTAATCTACAATGAACACATTGTAAGGAACACTTTAGGCTTGGTCCTGGCCTGCTCCCTGAGAGTCCTCATAGGTTCCTGTGGGTTGAAACAGACTTTGATGAAGTCTCTCACTCTCCATTGTTGTGCCTCAAGTATTACTACATGGCAAAGGTAGAGCCAGCCCACTCTCAACTGCAGACTCCTCTCGGAGAAGAGAGGGGAAAAAAAGCTACATTTCATTCTCACTCCCACTGAACGTTCAAGCTGAGCAAAAGCTTTATGTTTGGGGGAGGCAGGACTGAGAGCTGGGAAAATGGGCAAAATCTGAAGAGTTCTGTATGCAGAAGGGAGATAAGGACAACCCCAGGGCTGAGAATGAGAAGAAAAGCACATAGAAGCTCATGAAATTGTTTTGGGTTTGCTTTCTTTTTTAGAGGATGGACTTCTTGCCTGGCAACTTTCCCCTCTTTTCTCAGATGTCTGTAAAGGAATGCAGAAATTCACAACTCTTCTGTATGCATTTGTTTAGCTGTAATTCTTGTTCATCAGTTTTCAGTGCCCAGCGCTCAGAGAGGGCCAGCACTGGTAACCATCCTGTAATTACTTTTATCATCTGCCTCTGGGTCGTTAGTTCCTCCAGAAACACAGCACTGTGCAGGGACACCATTAACTACTCGGCGCGTAGGTCAGGAGTGCACATCTGACAGGCTTATGCTGCACACCACGCACGAACAACCAAAGCAACACCTGCATTTAAGACCTATGAGACCTGGCTTACAGAAACATCCATTTTTTCTCCACTTGGGCAACTGAGGTAAGCTTTTCCCAGCAACCAAAAATTAGCCATGTATTATGGCTTATCTTTACCGCTACAGAGGTCTTAATCCCAGCAAGGTAGCTGCTGCATAAAAATAAAATGGGAACAATTAATTCTTACCACAAAGAACTGAAAAACCAAAGAGGTAAAAGAATCAGCTGCAATTAGCCTCTTCTAGAGATGGAGTTCACGGAGCTGGAGAGATTAATTGACTTAATTAGGAAGTCAAGAACTGAGGCAATAATTAAACTGAAATCACCCGAGAAGACACCAAGTTCCTTAACCTGATGACCATTTTTCTTCTCTAAATTGCACCCTCCCTGATTTGATGACCCCTGCAATTAATCAGCATTGATTTCAAATTGCTCTTTTAGGTGTAAGCGCTGTCTTTTACCCAGGGCTGGCTGATGCTCAGATACTGGATAGCCTGGTCCAGAAGGCTGTCAAGCTCCTGTGGAACCAGCAGCTGCAGCTGGAGAGCTTATCCTGCTAGATCTGCTGTGGGAAGCAAAACTGGACCACCTCAAATAAACTGTTTCATGCTGACTCATTTCAAAGGAAAAATCTGTTTTGGAGATGCTGTTGGGGCTGTGGTATTTGTCACCTGGTGACAACCCCTGCTTTGGGAAAGGGAACACAAAATCCACCAGCTCCCAGCAAGGAGCATTTTACTCACATCTTGGGGTTAAAATGTAACCTTCACTTTGATGGGCTGCAGTAGGCGAAGAAGTAGAATGTAGAAATCATGGCTAGGCTTCGCGAACGAAGATTTGGGAAGGCTCTATCCACATTTGTTACAGGCATGCTGGTGACTTATGAGGCCAATAAGAGATAGACATATCCGATTGCAAAAGGCACAGCAGAAAGACTCCTTAGGTGGTGTATTCAGCAGGATACGATTCTTTCTGCGTTGCCTTTTCTCCTCGAGAGTGATCCTGCGTGCGTTCTCAAAGGAAACGGCAGCGTTGTAGATGGTGTGTCTCCAGGCCTCCCGATTTGAGGCCAGAGTAGACCAGTTATGATGATCAATGTGGTTGAGGCTGAGATGTTGTTTCAGGGAGTCCTTGTATCTTTTCTTCGGGGCTCCTCTCTTGCGGCATCCGGAGGCAAGTTCACCATAGAGCAGGATCTTAGGGAGGCGGTGGTCCTTCATCCTGGAGACGTGCCCTGCCCAGCGCAGCTGAATTCTCAGCAACATGGCCTCAATGCTAGTGACTGCTACTTGTTCTAGAACAGATGTATTGGTCACATAATCTGACTAGTGGATGTTTAGGATTGTACAGAGGCAGCGTTGATGGAAGCGTTCTAGGAGACGCAGGTGGTGGTGGTAGATGACCCATGATTCGGAACCGTATAAGAGAGTAGACAACACTATGGTTTGTAAACACTGATCTTGGTGCTTTTCTTCACATGTTTATTACGCCATACTCTTTTATGGAGTTTTCCAAAAGCACTATATGCCTTTGCTAATGCTAATCTGTTGTCTATAGAATGTAGAAATAGAATAAGCCTAATTCCCCCTTTCACCCTGCAACACTGTCTTCTATCACTCCCATTACCTTTCTCACCTTCCACATTGTCTTGCACAGACACTTGTCTCACTGGAGACATTTGGGCAAACCACGTGCAGAGTCATTTACAGCCAAACACTCCTGAGGTGCGGATGCAGGAATTTATTTCAGGACATGGTGTCACACTGACAGGCTGTACAGCAGCACACACTAAGTAAACAGCCAGAACAGAATGCCAACAACCTGCAGGGCAGCAGTGCAGCACTGCCTGGGGATTGCAGAAGCCCACAGCATGCCAGCTCCAGCAGCACTGGGCTCTGCTCAGACTCAGCAGCTGCTGCTGAGCTTTTCTGTGCTTTCTTCTAAAACCTCTGCATTCCTTTTTTAAACCATTTCTGTGATTCCCTTACTGAGGAATGCATTCAGTGCAAGTAGCTTGATGTGCACCTGCAGTGTCAGCTGCAGGTTGAGCTCTAGGTGGTGGAAGCCCGAGGCAAGAGGCCATGAACTGGCACTGATCCTTTGCACAAAAAAGGGCACGGGGACCTGTGGTGCCAGCCAGGCGACCGGACACTCAGAGACACAGCAGGAACCGAGGACACTGGAGGAAGAGCCAAGACTTTGTCATGCTTCGGCTGTGAAGGTATTAAAGTCCAGTGTTTCCTTTGTTTGTGCTCTCTCCTCGGAGGCACCAGCTCAAACTGTTTCTGTGTTACTATGCTTTATGGAACTAGACTTTTGAGACTTCGCTAAGGGAAACCCAGGGTTGAGCCGGTAAGGAAACCTGTGTGAGTGTGGTATGTGTAAGGGGTCAAGCAGGGCATCTGTTGGTTCACTGGAGCTGCCTGCTGCAAAGGGGCTTTAGTTCCAGCAGGTAAAGTCTCTGGTGGTGGGAGTGTGACTGCCGGAGTGCCTCCGGAACGGTCAGTCAGGGAAGTTTCTTTTCCACCCTTTTGGAGAAGTTATTCTGGGATATACCAAGGCTTAAATTACACAGCAAGGGTCTCCTTTACCAACCAACTTGAATTTCATTCCAGGCACGTTGCTGTACCAGCTGTCCCCACTGCGCAGGATTTCTCCCACCCCTGCTGCTTGTGCATCCAGTGTTTGACCAAGGTAACAAAATCAATTTTTGTTCCTGTAACTTGGGGCATCCAAAAGAGAGAGGCTGACACTCCATACATTTGGTAAAGGTTTTGGGCTTTTCTTAGTTAAGCCAAAGAACAAAGATCAGCTCAGGCAAGTTATCTATTTGCTGGGAATCAGAGTGATAAGAAGAATGTCCCTTGGGTTACTGTATTACCTAAAACCTTGGCTTTTGCTGGTGCATTCATTATGGTGAGAGGTGCCTGTATGAATACTGATAGGTTTTGTGTGTCTGCTGGTGGTAGATAGGACCCTGAACAATCCCCTGGGAGCTCTCAGCTCTCATGTTTGCATTCTGACTGATAAACTTCTGCAGTGTGTGGGATGGAGGATCTTGGAACCAAATGACTGCAGCCCTCTTCTCCTATTTCCTCCTACAGCTTCATAGCCAACTGCAACAAAAGCATTCTGTGATGGCACTGGGATCTGAACGCTCAACTGCGGATCCTTTAAGGTAAATCAACAAGTCAGGGTGAGGTATGCCTGTGCATTAGGAAAATCTGTTTGCCAGCTGCCAGGAGCTGTTACACCCAGACTAGTATTGACACTCATCCTGCTCTGGGGCAGGTGCCACTCCCACCTCCATTACCTTGGTCCAGCTCGGTCCCCCGGAACCGGCCCTCAGGGCGGGAATCCACCACCTGGAACTTTATGGATGACACGTTCTGTACCATCTCCTCAAAAGTCTTCACCAGGGCCCTATTTAGCCTGGCCTTGAAGACAGCAGGGGTGGGCTGGCTGACCTCTGCCGTGACGGGGTGCCCCTCCTTCACCCAGTTCTTGAAGCCACCGTTTAGTACAGAGACCTCCTTGTGCCCAAAGGCCCGGAACATCCACCAG